CTCTTGCGTTCTCGACCTGTGCGAACCGGTCGATCTCTCGCAGTGGCCGCCGTCTGCTTTCCAAAGTTTGAACACTCTACTCGGACAGTTATTCCTGGGGAGTTGGACGCTGGTGGTTTTCGTTCCCCGACATTGGGACTTGTCATTCATGACAAGCCTCCGACATCTCTCCGTCGTCAGGGCAATGGCTGGGAGGTGGGTGCGGCGGGCCCAACAGAAGAAGACTATTCCCGTGGGCCACAACTGGTACTCCGTGGACGATATGTATATTCTCTTCAAAGGTGACGACCTTCGAGAAAACACTGCGGTCGTTTACGACGCGAGGCTGTCGGCGGGGGACGCTGCGGCGGTGGCGGTCCATCAGAAAGTCACTCCCACGGACATATCTGAGATGCCTTTCCATCCTTGCGAGTGGMCGTTGTCGACCACGGGACACAAAGGGAAGGTGTACAAAGAGATGGAGCGGAACCCGGGGCAATTGGCGAATCTGTTGGYGTTCCTCTGCAAAAAAGGGGAAGGTGTCACGTTCATCGGGAAACCACATGCGCAAGTCGTGTGGGAGGTGTTGCAAAGTGGGCGTCATGTCGTCGCGTTGGAAGGAAACTCGGAGTTGTTGCAGTACATGGTGGACTACGTCAAATGCGAGGTCAACTCCGGAGCCAGCCGATGCGAGTTCGTCGTGCGGACCGAGAAAGCGGTGCGCGTCTGGGATCCGTCGACGGACATGTGGTTCAAATTGAGCGAGAGAAAAAGAAACAAGATTTTCCGCTTCCTCTTCCTGGAAACCCGGCCGAAGAGTGAAGCCAACCAGGAGCACATGCGACGCAGGGACCACATGTTGTCGTTGCTTGACAACTACCATGGCGCCGATCGGAGAAATGCGAAGAACTTTCTCGACAGGTTGGCGGGTCTGTACTTCGAAGAGTCTATCCAGATCTTGAGGTACCACGACTACGCGTCGATGGTATCCACCGAGGATGAGGACAAAACAGGGATTGTATTTGAAGCTGGCATGACAGAGGAGGGCAGCGATACGGAGAGTCTCGACATCGGTTACGCACCCTCGCCTGGCTCGACCACCGCCTGTTCTTCAGCAGCCGGCCCGTTGACCAGCCAACCCCCGCAGACGACACAGACGTTAACGACAACCTCGGGAAAGACACCGAAGAAGTTGTCGTCAAGACTGCGCCCCGTTGGAGCTTCCGCTGCCCCGTTGCGTCCTGGGAGTTTTGTTCCTCTCGATCACCCGTCTCGACGCGACGAGAGCATCCACTTCGAGGGCCACGACCAGACCAGGTCCGGCGAGGCGGATTGGGGCCAGGACATGATTTGGCATCCAGGGACCATACAGCCTGCGGTTCTGAAGGGCGAGTGGGTCATGGCCATGATCAATGACGACAGGCAATTGGCGTCATACGCGCGCATGTCTGTGTCCGAATTTCTAGACTTGGCTAGGGAAATGGTGGCAGAGAAGGTTAGGGCAGAAAATCCCAGGGTCGCCAGGGACGACCTGTCCATCGCCTACACCACCGACATACTCATCGGCGACACAAAGAACGATCTCGGGGGCGGCCGACAATTCGACAGCGAGGTCAAGTGTGGGGACGACCCTGCGGCTGCGCAGGTGCTCAGAAGTCCTGCAAGGCAGTCGTCGCCGTTATCTGGAGACGTTAAGCAGGCTGGTAAGCGCTGATCGGTTCACTTCTTGTCGCGCTGTTCTGCTCACGGATGCAACATTCAGGATTCCATCATCTTCTCACATTTGACGAAACTGACGCCACTGTCGTCCCCGATTTGCGGATGTTGTCGGGCATTTGATGTCGTTTCAGCACTATTCGCGAGACCGGGTTGGGGTAAAGGAATAGGGATGGAACGGCTGGTCAAACAGTGTGGGTTGGAGACTTTTGTATTGCGCTTTCCACTCGTCCACTAGCGCGGCGGGCGGGCATAGGTATCCTTATGCGATCTGTGGAAGTCCGCCAGGATCCGCACTTCGTCGCCTATCTTGTTGTGTGCTTCTCCCCTTCCCGCGTTGCAGTCTCCAACCCTTGGGTGATTGCCTCCGCAGTGGCTGCAGCCTCCTCGTTGTCCTTCGCGTCGTTTTTTCTATCGTCCAATTCCTGTCGTGTGCCAGGATGGCCCCGACGTCTACGTGTCCTCTGCCTTTCTTCGCTAACGTGTGGAATGGACATCATCGCAAACTCGTGACAACAA